ACCCTAAACCCTAAACCCTATTGGCTGGTGTTGTCATCCTGAGTTTAGCAAGGGAGAGCTGCATGGGACGAGGCCCCATCGCGCCCCTGGGTCGACGAGAAGACTGGCCCCTAAAGCTCCTACGGAACTTCCCAGTCTCTTGGGCTGAATTCTCAAAACAAGGGGCTTGGAGTTTAGGGTTTAAGGTTCAGGGGTTTAGGGGTGTAGGGTTTAGGGTTTCGGGTTTAGGGTTTAGGGTTTAGGGTTTAGGGTTTAGGGTTTCGGGTTTAGGGTTTAGGGTTTAGGGATACTGTTCTGTGGGACTTGGTTCAAGACACTGGCACGTGAAAACTGCTGAATCGGCTGCTCTGGTGCCGTCTTAATCTCATTCGCGAGCCCCTGGAACCAAGAAGCCCCGACAAAACGCACAGCACACTGCAGACACAAAGCCCCAAACCCATGAAACAACAAAAGAACCATGTACTGAAGTAGCTCTAAACCCCGAAGCCCTTAACCCCAGAAGGCCTCGATCCTGCCGCCGCCTGTGGTCTGATCGCCTGCAAGGGATCGACATCACATTTATCGGGAAAGTGAAGGTTTGGGGATGGGTTTAGGGTTGAGAGTTCAGGTTCTGGGTTTGGGTGCCACGCGCATTGGGCTTCGCTTGTTTGAGTGAGGCCTCAGGGCGGTGTAGACGCTATACCTCGAACCCTCGGTTAGCTGCTAGCGGTTAGCTTCGACAAACTACAAGTCAAAGGATAAGGCTTTCAGGGATCCGACTATGTCCAAATTGGATTCAGCTTGAGGTCGTCTGCACCAACCTCCGTGAAGGCTTGACAAATGAAGTAGTTATGTAGTGTGACGTGCACCTTAACTTCTGGTCACACACAAGAGGGCAGGATCATCCAGCTGCGCATCTTAAGCACTTTGTACGAGGCTGGGAAATCTTTTTGAAGCCCTGCGAAAGCGAGAAAAAAACGCTCTAAAGCCCCATACAAGCCTTACGTACTGTAAAGCAGCCTTTGTAAGCCCTCTGAAACCCCAAAAATAAAGCCCCTGAAAATAAACACTTCAATACAAACACAAAGCCATATTCAAACCCTTGCAAAGCTGCTTTCGCGGCCAGGGCACTCAGAGACATCCCATCCAGCAGGAAGGACGTGATCAGGTAGGGGTCGGACCTTGAGACTAAGGGCTTTCGGTTTGGGCTTGGGTTTAGGGTTTAGGGTTTAGGGTTCTGTGCAACCCAGTATAGATCCGCAAAACCTTCAAACAAATTCCCTGAAGGACACCTGCGAGGCCCGGCCACATCATCAGCACCCCAAACCCCGAAGCTTGAAATCCCGAGCCTCGAGCCCCCTTAACCAAAAACCCCAAACCCTGAACCCTAAACTACTTGGAGGATCATGGGACTTAGTATGTAAGGTTAGAAGTCCCCTAATTGGGGTTATAAGTATAGTTTCCTTAGTTATAACCCTACTTACTAAGTCCCATGATCCTTTAAACAGACCCAAAAACCCCAAACTGGCCTTAAACCCCGAACATGGGCCCCGAGCATGGAGTAGCAGTTGTAGATGAGGTTGGTGCCCAAGACGCCGATGGCCTCCCCCTGCTGCTGCGCCGTGGGCTGGCTCATGCGGATGTGCAGGATCCTGAGAGAAAAGGGTTTAGGGATCAGGGTTTAGGGTTTAGGGTTTAGGGTGTAGGGTTTAGGGTGAGAGGAGGAAAGCTTTGGGGCTTGCGGGCCTTCCCCTCCCTGGCCACTTAACAAGAAGGGCGCCCCCTTGTTTGGTCAGCCTGAAGCTTCCAGGGGTCTCGGGTAACAGCAGAAAAAACTGGCAGCAGACAGCATCAACAAGAATACACGGTAAGTTCGGCTTATGATTTTGAAGTACAACGATTGTGACCTCAGATTTCAGATCTGGATGTACCCGGTTTGAGACCGGTTCGGAAGGTTTGTGCCTCAAGCGCGTCGCTGTTTCTGAAGACTTCACTCTTTGAGTCCAGGGGGATAGGCTGGGCCAGCCTGCGTCGGGGTTCGAGGCGCAAGGTAGGTTTCAAGTCGCTGCTCATGCACACATGGACTGAGCTCACCGTGCAGGGGACCGCTCTTTTCACGTCGCTGCTTCTGTCAAGTGCCTGAGGCCCTGTCTTTGGAACGTGGGCGGAAACAACGGTACGCACACATGCTATGGCATGAAGCACGCATCCGAACAGGTGTCGTATGCCAGGCATTCTGGCTGGATAAACAGCCCGCACAACCCGCTTGGGGAACCCCCGCACGGGAGGGTGGGTGGGAACAAAATTTGGAACAAAATTTTTCACCTGGACCACTGCAAGCCTTGATGGCTACAGGTTCAGGTTCGATATGCAAACTTATCTGCGCGTGCAGCCCCTAGCCAACCATCCTTCAAGTACAGAGCAGCTGCCAGAAAACGCTGTGCATGGATGGCTATCTCCAGCAGAAGCACCTAGTGCCATTACTATGAATGTGTTGCACAATGGCAGCGGTGAAAAACACTGCTGCTGCTGCCAAGGCAAACATGATGTGCGATTACAGGATGAACACGTGTGTTTTTGCTGCGCACATCGCTGCTCATGATTGCAGTGGCACATAACGACGTGCTGAACCTAATTAACTACTCCAGGTCTTTTGCCGCGACAGACCTAGACGCTCTGCTCGCTTGGCTTCCTTGGTCTCAAGCGACTCCCCACAACCCACTCGAAAGAAGAAGCCAAGAAAGATGATGATCAAGGCCACCAAGGCCAAGCCAGCACTGACTAGGAAAGGCGCATTGGGGTGGACCTCGGAATAAAGCAGCATCGCTGTGAGGGTAGCCGCAGACATACCCAGTGCTTCGGAGTTCAGCTGCAACGTCAGGAAAACATCCGCATCACCCAAGGAGTAAAAAGTATTCATGCTCGTGCAAGCTTGCATGGAAATGACATAGAGGGTTCCCATAAGTACCTGGGAACATATCACGATTGGCAGATTTGGGACTGTCATACCAAGACAGAAGATGACCCACCACAGGCACAACCAAACCAAGTTATAGGGCTTCGCCGTAAGAGAATAACAAACCTTCTTGGCGAAACCAGAATTGAAGCCTGCTTCCTCCTTCTCAGGAGAAGGGGGTGCAAGCCTTGCAATCAGCTGCAGAATCCCTGCAGCCATAATGTCACCGGAGGACTGAGCTACTCCTGCCCATGTTGCCGAGTTCCAGTTATGCTGCTCCCTGAAGTAAATCGCGAAGAGGACATACTCAACAACGTATGCCCAGTTGTACACGAAGCTGAAGAAGCCACACAGCAAGGCAGGAAGCCAAATGTTTCTGGGGAGTCGACTTTTTGCCGGGATGTCCCCTGACTGATGACCACAAGCAGGGGCGAGGCGATCAGGGACAACGAGTGAGCTTCGCTGGCATGGGACGGCGCCCGCTATTCCAGAGAAACGCATTGAGGCCCTTGAGAGCTCTGAGTCCCGTTGCCGTGGCGTTGCCTTTGCTTGCGAGGTCTGGCTGTTTTCGCGGGACCGCCGATTGCGCACCGCACCATCATCCAAGGGGTGAAGCAAAGTGCTTTGGTGCCTGGCTTGTTCTGGCCCTTCCGCCGGGACCGCCTTTGCGAATTCCTCCATATCGCTGTTGTCTGTGGAGAAGCGAGATCTGCCAACGTTGCTGTCATCCTCTGGTTCCTCCAAGCTCACCATGCCAGGAAGCGGGGGAGTAATGCCGATGTGCGGCGCCTGTGCGGCCCCGGCCATGCTTTCCAGGGGGTAATCCGGCACTATGGTACTCATGGGCTTGTCTGCATTCCCTGCGTCCCGCTTTCGACAGCATAGGTCTGCAATGCTGCGGTGAACACACGGCTCAACCAAGAGTATCCCGCACACGATCATCTGTAGGACAATGTGTGTGATGACCAGGCCGGGCCAGCCAGCAAGATCGTAGACTATGCCGCCAATGGTGGAGGCACTGGCATAGCCCAAGACGAAGCACTGCAGCTGCACGGAAGTGGCGAAACTGGCCTGAGCCTCTGTCTTTGAGTAATGAAAAAAGACAATGGCATCGTTGCACAAAATGGCGTCCAGAGCAATGCTGACAAATATCTGCAAAGCAACACACCACTCCTCCTCAACTGTGACCAGCACCGGCACAAGGCAACCAAGGTGGATCAAATTGATCAGCAGCGAGAACCACGGGCCCAACCAGCTGGTGATCTGTGTCATCATGATTCTGATTAAGGCGGAAATAAGGCCAAGCAGGCCCAGACGCCAAAGTGGCCATCCAAACTCTTGATAATGCAAGGAGTTTGCAGCCCAAAGCATACCGTTGATAATGCCGTTGCACAAGGGAAGCACGGAGCATATACAAAGAAACTTTATCCTGGATAGACAGGGGCTCCTCTCCGGAATGCTTGACAAGTCTTTGGGAAGGTCTATCGGCTCCTTCGGAGCTTCCGCTTCATTCTTCGGTAAACTTGATGCCATGGCTCCGAAGGCTCTACTTTCTCGCCGCTTCAGCCCAAAACGGCTTTTGCAGCTTCAAGACTCAAGTTTCGGGGGCCTCCGCCTTTGCTACCTACGTGCAAACTTCCAACCACCATCCTCCCTTACGGCTTGAATGTTTTTGGCTTCGGTGGCCCCAGACAGCCTGGACTCTAATACCCAACAACCTAAACCCCTAAGGCCTAACCCTGACCAGCCAAACCACACGGCCGCAAACCCCAGCCCAACAAACCCTTTAAGACTTTCCCCACAAGCCCTTGATACGCTGTAGCCGTTTAAGCCGAAACTCTAGCCCCCAACTCCTCAAACCCCACAAAACCCTACAAGAAGCAACACCTTCAGCCCGAAATCCCCCCCCCCCCNNCCCCAAACTCTAAACCCTAAACCCCCGCTTGGGACCGGACACCGTACTTGGAGCTGCGCCGCACTCTGCCTGGTACTTGAGGCCCACCCAACCTCCACAGAGCTGAAAGTTCGGAGCTTTCGGGTTTCGGGCTCGTAAAGCTTTGGGCTTAGAGCTCCAGGGTTGCAGCATTTAAGTTTGAAGGCTTAGGGTAGGGTTTTGGTGGATACGGGTGAAATTCTCGACAGACAGGGCACCGCACCAAAACGGCGAAGTTGAAGTTAGCGCACTCGCGAGCCAGTGCTAGAAAAGGTTTTGGCTCCAGGCTGAGAGATTTCGGAGAGCTTTAAATCAAATGAATCAATCGTGTACATATCCAACCGGAAAACCTTGTTCGAAACCCTTCTGGGCAAATGTCAACCTTTTCCATGGACTGTGGTAAAGTAGGGCCAGGCACCGTAGAGCACAACTTGAAGCTAGAGTTTTTTGAAAAAGGGACCAAGGCATCAAAAAGTTCCGACAAGGCACCCGCGACAACACTTTGACACCTTGTGCATGCCATTCCGTCCTTTTCCATGCTTTGGTGCGGTCAAGTCAGCAATACTGTCCTATCTGCAAGCTCTTTTGCTCTTTTCTACAACCCTAAACCCTGAAACCGAAACCNNAAACCCTAAACCCTAAACCACTTTACAACGGGTTCTTCTGGCGGTTCTCGGTTTCTCGCAACTCAGAACCTGGGCTTGAAGGTTCGCCATCTATGTTTTCTGTGACGGCCTCAACATCGGCACTACAAGGGTTCTAAAATGGGGCGTCTAGGATCTAGTATTCAGGGGTTCTAGGGTACTTAAAGGATCATGGGACTTAGTAAGTCGGGTTATAACTAAGGTAACTGTACTTATAACCCCAATTAGGGGACTTATAACCTTACTTACTAAGTCCCATGATCCTCCAAGTAGAGGACATTGCAGAGAACTCAGATCTGACAGCTTGAGATGCGCAAAGGCGGGTGGATTCTTTAGGGTTTAGGGTTTAGGGTTTAGGGTTTAGGGTTAAGGGTTTAGGGCTCTGCAGGGCTCTTCCAAGAGTTAGCCCAGTGAGGACTTGGAGTTCATACATCGCGGAAGCCCTTCTCCAATGTAACTACTTCTGTGCTCCTGCCACCGGCATGCGAACCTAAACCAAGCAAGTCGAATGTTATGCTCAAATCTAGATCATCTCCAGATCAAGTTGTCTCTCGAAACCACACCTGCCCAGCGACCTGTCGCCGAACCAAGGCCACAATCCCGCAACAGCCTGAACGTCCGAACCCAAAACCCCGCACCCTAAGCCCAACAAAAAAAATGAACTCGCTGGCCTTCGCACTCGCGGTCCGACATATAGGCCTTCGCTGCGAGGGTACTGGCAAAGGAGAAGAACCGCGCACTTTCACCTCAGGGCTGCTTGGAATGCTCCAGCTTTGAAAAGCCTACAGGGTCTAATTAGGGTTTAGGGATTAGGGTTTACAGTTGAGTCTTAGGGTTTACGCCTCAGATTCGGCTGCTTCAACGGGATGTTGTGTCAGACTGACAGTTCATTCTTGTTCATATCCCAACATAATAATCTAGGGGCCTTAATAATCAGAATAGGGTTTTGGGGGTTCCCTAAACCCTAAACCCTAGACCCAAAACCCCAAACCCAAAACCCTAAACCCTAAACCCTGAACCCTAATATTCCCAAAGCCTTATTCTAATTATTAGGGCCCCTATATGGGAGTTTCCGAAAATTAGGGGTACCTTATTTGGGGGTCCTTATAATAAGGATCCTACTATTTAGGGTACCATATTAGGGCCCCCTATTTTCGGAAACCCCCATATTAGACTCTTTCCAGCATTCCGAAGGTCTTCGGGGCCTCGTAGACACGCACAGAAAAGAGTGAGGATGGATGGTGAAATAGCTTCAGTCTCAGGGTTTAGGGTTTAGGGTTTAGGGTTTAGGGTTTAGGGTTTAGGGTTTAGGGTTTAGGGTTTAGGGTTTAGGGTTTAGGGTTTAGGGTAATTTCAAGTCCGAAACCCTAGCCTAAGCCCCAAGCCCTAATCCATGAACCCTCACCACTAAAGCTTAGGGTTCAGGGCACTCGTCGGTCAGCGGCGAACTCCAGAAACTTCTGGAACATCTACGTGGTGATACGAACATCCTTCATCTGCGTCGGCTTGCTCGACTAACTATTGTTAATCAAATATCTTATGCCAGCATCCCTATTTCTGGGGACCTTCCTCTTGTTCGCGTCTCTCCAGATTCTAGCATTATATGTGCCCCCCCTAAACCCTGAACCCTAAACCTCTCGCCTTTGGTAGATCGGAGGTTCTTCTCCACCACATCGTACTCCTTGTTCAGCATCTGCTCCACCCTCTCTCGGGTGACATAGCGCGCGGCCTCCGACCAGGAGCACAACAAAGAAGACTACACAATACAGAAGTATAACGGCTTTTAGTATGTGTATATATATATATACAGTTTTTATGGTAAGGGTCTGCAATATATAGTCTGTAGTACGTACCATATAAAACAGAAGACTACTTGGAGGTTCGTTCATGGGCAGTGATAAGTGGGTTATAAGTCCCCTAATATAGGTTATAGCTACAGTTATTCTACTTGTAACCCGACTTATAATTACCCATGAACCCCGAGTACGAGTTACTGTGCTGTTCTATGTCATGATGATCGTCAAGACGATGGCTGCCGATGTGGCCATGATGATGATCATGATTCTCGTGGCCACCACTAGCCGTACTGTGTTCAGTACGACCACGGGCCTCTGATGCTAGCTACTATGAGCTGCTGTCACAAGCAATCTCCGGCATGTGAAACCATTGCAAGCTGCCGCCAAGACGGCTCTGAAAAAGAGAGGTTTAAGCTGACTTAAGCCTGCTTAACACGGAATCAGAGAAGTGGCAGCATCTGCTCAGAATACAGCGCACAGCCAACAACCCCAGCACACCCAAGACAAAAAAACGTAACCACAACAAAGATGGAAGCTCGGAGCACTTCGCCGCTCCCACCTTTCCATAATCCAGGTCGGACATCTTCATGTCGTAGGCGGAGATTGACCGCGCCACGGTGCCGGCAGCTGCGCCGGCTTGCAGGAAGGTTCGCGACACCTGCAAACCAGGTTTAGGAGTGCAGGGTTGGCAATAGGGCTTTAAGCGTCTTAGGCTTTGTCTTCAGGCTTGAGCTGGAGGGCTTAGGGGCTTCGCGGAATGCGGACTCTGGTTCTCGATAGGCATGACACGGAAAACCGGGACGCCACACTGCTGAAGAAGCCCAAAATCCTAGCGTCGACAAGGGCAGACAACGCGAAAGTCCGGTTTACCGCACACCCCAAGCCGTACTGAAGGGGGTGAATTTGTTTTCCCGCCTCCTGGCCAGCTCCGATCTCTGCGAAACTGCCGTAGAAGTTGCTATCCTGATGTACGTATTGATGAGTTTTTGGGACCTTTTCATCCTTTTCTCCGTGTGAGGATTCTCCTACTAGTGCTCAGAAACGGACAGGAACACTAGAATAATAGCAATAATAACGACGAACAGTTTTAATTGAGAAGAACAAGAACCATACTACAATAATAACAACCTCTCACGCTGCTCCCCGCTGCTCCCCGCTGGCTGTTGAAACTGACCAGAAGGACACCAAGATCGTAGCCCTCTGCTCCGCATACCGTAGCGACACAATCAGAAAGAGCATGCTCACAGACGGATTGGCCCGGGCCCATGCCCGCCGAGCTTCCAGATTCACCACGAGGGCCTTCTCTTCTGGGCTGCCTGGCACCAGAGTCGGCGAAGGCTCAAAACACAAGTAAGTGCACATATGTATACTGAGCACTGCGTACTACAACAACGCGCGGACGCCCTGTAAG